CTCCCTTGACAATCGGAACGCTTTTACCATTCTGCCGCCATGGATCTCGAATTGGCCAATCGTATGACCATTAAGGTTTCGAATGGCCTTGACGGGATATGTGGTTCCTTTGATCTCGACTTCGTAGCTTTCCATAGCTTCCTGAATCGCAGCTCCAATATCACTCATGCGGACGTCGATACCAGCTTCCTATAATAAAAACGCTCTTGTTAGTCAAGAAAGAAAACATAATATATGGATAAAATTATGGATGATAGCAAACCTTAATTCCAGTATTTGTTGCATCCTTGACAGCAGCCAATAGATTATCATAAATCGGGTCAAACGCGATAGTAAAAGCGCTATCCACAATTCTACCATTCATGTGAACGCCAAAATCAACTTTCATTACATCTTCGTATTGCAGTACCATCTTGTTGCCCGCATTGGGAGAGTAATGTGCCGCACAATGGTTTAAGTTAACACCGGTAGGAAATGCAATTCCGCCCAACAGATTATCACCCTCTGTTAAACCGTCATGACCCGTGAGTGCGCGCACACTATCCTCGATTCCCTCGGCGATTTCCGTCAAAGTCTGGCCTGGCTTGATGGTTTTCTGCGCGTATTGGCGCACCTGCCTGTGCACTTCTGCTGCATAGCGGTATTCGGAGAGGAAATCATTGTTCATACGGTCCAAATATCTTTTCTCCTCATTGGTCGTCCGGTAGGCATTCTCATCTTTGTACTCAACAAGTTCGCCTACAGGATACTCATTGTTGGGGAATAGGGTTGACAGAATGACGCGGGGAGGCTCCGTTTGCGCCTTTTGGGTGTCCTTCTTCTTCTTCTTTGGCTTCTTTTTTTTCTTCTTCTTCTTTGCGGCTAAAACTTGGCGAGAACAACGAGTTAGAAACGTTTCGATTCCAAGGCAGAGAGAAGAAGGAAAAATGTATAGATAGAACCTTCTATAGTCCTCGGTTCATCCGCTCCCTGGTCATCCCCATTATCATCCTCGGAATCTCCATCTTCATTCTCGGGTGCACCTGATGGTGCTAATTCCTGAGGAAGAGCCCCACCTTCCGTTTTCACTGCGAAAATTTCAGTACAAATACGTAGTAAATTCAAAAAGGACATTGAGCGCGGAAGACATACGGTTGGGGCTTTGCAGCTCCGGTATGACTTGAGCTGCCATGTTGAACAATATCAGAAGAGATAGGATGTGCTGCTTGGTGGCTGGCAATGACAAAAAATATATGTGCAAGCAACGGGCCCTCCTCGGCAGAATGGGCGTCCGCCTTTAATTACAGCCAATCAAACGACTCTGATACAACCTTATCTAACCGGAGGTCACGTGTATAGAGCAAAAAAGAGGTACTCTTCTCCTGTTCATGAATTGGAAGAGCTGTAAATACCAAGCATCCAGGAATGTGGGTCTGTTTGATGTGTAATATCTTGGAAGGAATGCTTAGCCAATCAATCCGTTCCACTTTTATATATCCGACAAAAGCAAGCGGCTTTTCAAAGCAAAGTGCCTGATGACGATGTATCACATGACCAATCAACCAAGACAAACCTGGCAGAAATTCCTATCTCCAGACGCCAGCAATATCATTAATACTAGCACTAGTAGACATTTCAATCGTTTCTTTGGATCTCTTGATGTTCTCCAAGGTATGACAGAAAATGTGAGGTATGCCACTGCGTCTCCACCGTCTACCCCTTGCCTCTCCAAACGCTTGCCTCCGTTCCCCTCCAAACGTCTCGAGAGTGCGGCCATTTTCACAAGCTGCGTCATTGTCTGCCGAAGCCCACAGCCGTTCATATTACGAAATCCTTAATGTGCCAGTTACAGCCACAACAGCAGAGATCAAAAAGTCAGTGTGGAATGGCTAATCTAGTCTTTTCCTTGCATATTCTCATCTGCCGCATCTCAAACCACCCTAACCTTACCCTTACAATCCCATGTAGGAAGTTTTACGCTCTTTCTCTTGCCCACCACCCTGACAGAAATCCCAATGACCCAACTGCGCACGCGAAGTTTTCCTCTATATCTTCAGCATACCATGTCCTTTCCCACGGATCAAGACGAGCTCGATATGACCGGGATCATAAC